GCCACCCAGTGCCTGGAATATAATCCCCTTTTAAATGGTCCTATATTAGTCTACCCAGAGAAAACAATCTGAAAGATTATGATGCAAACCATTAACACCAGGTAAGTTTCTTTGTACATACCTGTAAATATTTGCATGTTTTTTACAGTGACCATGTGCTATGTATGTAATCAGGGGGCAAAGTTTCTTGCTAAAGGACAGCCCTGTTAACAGGCAGCTGCACGATCAGACCCCAATTTATCAGACTCCAACTTTACCTCCCACCAATCTCCTCGTCCTGGCTCCATCCCTATATTTCCCAAATATACCATGTTTTTTTATACTTGTGTGCCTTTGCCTAGAATGCAAATAAGCGGACAACCATTGGATACTCTCCTTCCAGGCCTAAGTGAATTATCACCTCTTCTGTGAAACAGGAAGTTGAGCATCCCTTCTTTGGGGTTCCAAAAGCATTCAGTATGTCATGCCACAGTTACCACTTTTCATCTCCTCTTCTGTACTACATTCTGACATTTTAAAAAAAAAAACTTCAACAATTATTAATCCAGTAGAGTTTTCAGGGATGTGTATTTATTGTTTTTTAAAAGATTTTATTTATTTATCTGAGAGAGAGAGAGAGAGCACAAGCAGGGGGAGCGGCAGAGGGAGAGGGAGAAGCAGGCTCCCCTCTGAGCAGAGAACCCGATGTGGGCGCTCCATCCCAGCTTCCTGGGATCATGACCTGAGCCGAAGGCAGACACTCAACCGACTGAGCCTGCTAGGCGCCCCTACATTCTGACCTTTTCTGATGGCAAGGACTATCATTTGTTCATCTTTCTATCTGTCCCAGCTGCTGGAATAGTGTTCATCACATCATAGACATTCAAACTATTTGCTGAGTGAACGAAGGAAGACATTAGTAAGTGAATAGTCAAACTGCATAGAGGATTTGCACAATACTTTCTAGCCAGTCTAAGAGACATCACAAGGCAGTACATGATTAACTGCTGAATGAATCGTACACCAGTAATTCCTATAGAAATCAGAGGAGGCGTCTTATACATCTTTGTATGTCCCCTAGAGTACCTAGCAAAGTGACTTGCTCATAGTGAAAGCTCAGTAAATGCTCTGTGAATGAATAATCACTGCTTTTGAATCAAGTGATGATGTGCAATTGAAGAACAAGCAGTGTAAGTGCTGAATTAAGATGGATGAGAAGTTTCTTGCTTGAACATCCATTACCAGCCTCCACAGAGTTGAGGCAGCAAGCATTTGGTGTTGTGGGGAGCACTGGGTTGGCAATTGCTTGGGGGTGGGGAGGACACAAGAAAAATTTAAAGCATCCATTTGGGGAGCGTAGACTTAAAACCAGGAAATTATACACACAACAGAGAATAGGCAGGACAGTGTACAAAAAAAGGACCACACAAAATGTGACCAACTGCAAATGTTCAAGAGTCAGTAAGAGCAATGGGTAAGTAGAAAAGAGGAAACCCCGGGGGCGCCGGGATGGCTCAGTCGTTAAGTTAAGCATCTGCCTTTGGCTCAGGTCATGGTCCCAGGGTCCTGGGGTCCAGTCCGCATGGGGCTCCCTGCTCAGCAGGAAGCCTGCTTCTCCCTCTCCCCCTCCCCCTGCTTGTGTTCCCTCTCTCGCTGTGCCTCTCTCTGTCAAATAAATAAAATCTTAAAAAAAAAAAAAAGAAAAGAAAAGAAAAATGAGGAAACCCTATTTTGGTGGAGTATTTGGAAAAGTTTAATGGTGGGGAGAGCAGATAGGATCATTAACTCAGCAACTATTTATCAAGCTCTACTATGTGCCAGGAATTCCGGTAGGTACTAGGAAATGATGATAAATGGCTCTAGGGATACAAGTCTGATTACGGTAGGTATGGAAAGAAGGAATCGGAATTAAATACCAGCTAGAGGAAAAGGAGTGTGGCTTCAAATATCTTTGGAAACTGATGACTTTACACTAAAAAATAGGACTAGGAAGCACCATCAAAACCAGGGCTGTTCCAGGCACCTGGGTGGCTCAGTCAGTTCTGCATCTACCTTCGGCTCAGGTCATGATCCTGGGGTCCTGGGATCGAGTCCCCGCATCAGGTTCCCTGCTCAGAAGGGAGTCTGCTTCTCCCTCTGCCCCTTCCCCCCAGCTCGTGCACTGTCTCTCCCTATCTCTCAAAAATAAATAAAATCTTGGGGTGCCTGGGTGGCCCAGTCATTAAGTGCCTGCCTTCGGTTCAGGTCATGGTCCCAGGGTCCTGGGATCGAGCCCCACATCGGGCTCCCTGCTCGGCGGGAAGCCTGCTTCTGCCTCTCCCACTCCCCCTGCTTGTGTTCCCTCTCTTGCTGTCTCTCTCTGTCAAATAAATAATTAAATCTTTAAAAAATATAAATAAGTAAATAAATAAATAAAATCTTTTAAAAAAAATCAGGGCTCTTCTGTCAGACTAAGGAGTAAAAAACATTGGTATATCTTGTTTCACCAGTTTCTTCATCTAGATTAATGACCCCATTCCCTGACACCAAAGGGGAGAAAACGTGCTAGTGAAAGGGTACACCCCTCCTCCAACGGCTGTCCAGCCTGTTTATGGTAGTCCTAATAAGACTCAGTTGGTTAAAGGGCTTATGACCAGTAAATGATCCAGAAACCCACCATTTCAATCTTTTATTTTCATTCTTAATAAACATGATCTTCAAAAGTCTTGGTCTATAAATAACAACATATCTTTTGATTTCCAATGTCAGGTACTGTTAGAGAAGGTAATTGAGAGAACATGACCGCCAGTTGACCCTCGCGCCGTACCCTGGCAGTCAGAGGATCCTCACCCCCTTCCCTGTCTTTGGAATATATACTCTGCCCACTATTTCCAAAGTGGGAGCTGCTCCAAGAACATAACCTTGAGGGAGTAAGGTTTTGTTGAGACCATCTGGACGGTATATGTGACTGAACCCAGTTAAGGCCTCTCTATATGAACTTTTAAAACTCTGGTGGGCAGGTGAGGAGATCTACTTGCCTATGGCTACCCAAGACAAGCCTTGTATAGGGGCTAGTTTCAGATTCCCTTTTCTTTGAAATTCTAGTTCTTCTTTCTACTCTGTTCTGTTTGTCTTTCTAGTTATTTACTTCTGGGGTGGGGCAGTCCTTCCATTGCTACTCATCACTTTGTACCTCTCTTTTCTGTTCTACCTGGAATGTTCTAGGCAGGGAGAAAACTTTCTAATTGTTCTAAGTTCTTTCTTTAGGAAGCAATCACTTAAAACAATCGGTTCTCAGACTGAAATAAATCTGTTATTAATGCTTCCTCAGCCAACCAGCTGCAAAACCAAACACTATTCTTTGAAAGAGGAGCACAGAAAACCATCCTATTTCCTGGTGCATATGGGAGAGGGATTTAAAAATCCCAACTACTGAAGTGATATAGGACAGGCTAGAACCTCCCTTTTTTAGTAACAAAGCAAGAAAAATGGAGGGGAGAATAAGTACTTAGCTTGACTTGTAAAACTCCTCACTGAAGTAATTTTCATACTATCAATTTGCCTAATTATGGCAAAGCATTAGGGATTATTCACATCATTAAATATGTCAAGCTAAATTATGTGATTGCAACACCAACCTCTTGTTCATAGTCTCTCAGTCTTCGTGCTTTGTTGCTTATATTGTTGGGTTATCTGCTCACAGGTTTGAATATGAGATTAAGGAAGAATACTGGCCTAGGAACTAAAGGACAATGTGCCTTGTACAGTTAGAAGCAAAGGCAATGACCATGAATATGACTAATAGCTTCACTTTCTATTGAACCAGCTCATAAAATCTCAGGGAAGGATGGTGGCAGCAGAGTTGTTTCCCAAAGCAGAGAACTTTTTTAACAGTCTCTTTGGATACCTACTTACAAATTTAGTTTCTGATCCTCACTGTATTGAAATCCAAGGTTTTGTTACATAATATATTCCTAAAAATGTGTATAAAAGTTGAGTGTGCAGAAGTTGAATAAATTTATGTTATAATGGGTAGTTCTGTTTCCAGAAAATGAAGAATTTCACTTCATTGTTGGAGACATTCTTTGATAACATGGAGCAGCTTGGGTGTGCAATGAACTCCTGACCATTTCCACCCATGTCTCAAGTGTGTCACATTTGTCAGACCCAAGTGTCTAATCAGCATTTTCAATTTTGTTTTCCACTTACTTTCACAGAAGAATAAAATGTAACTAAATATTCCAATATTGTACAAACAGTGATGTGCATACAAAGATGCTAACACCAATAGCTGGCAGTAAGTTTTGTCATGTTATTGATACAAATGCTTATTAATCAGAGAATGTACAAAAATCTAAATTTGGCCTCTAAGGAGGGGCTCAGAGACACGGAATATTAAAAAAAAAAAAAAACTGTAGCTTTTATCAAAATCAAATGTGCTTAAGAGATCATCTATAAATAAGAGGAAAGACATCCACACCAACATTATAATTTCTTGTTCTCCCTCTATCCCACATTACCCTCTTTCTCCCAAAGAAGTGACAAAGAGAGTAAAGGAACCGTGCAGAATGGCTACTATGTGCCAGGCATTGTGGTAGGTGATTTGCACAAACACTCTCTTAATGGCCACAGCCAATAGTGTATTTTATGTCAGAAAAATGACCCACGACCCATAAGCTATTCATTTCAATATGAGTCCTTGTTTGCTGGACCGATGAATGAAATTGGAAAACAACAACAACAACAACCCTGAATCATTAGAAAAGGACACAATAAAACTGTACTTAAATAGATCATTAATACTGTGGCTTGTATCTGTGTGGGATAGAGAATACATTTCCTGAAAAATCACCAGATTTCTGATATTTTTTAAAGAAATATGTCTGATACTAACTTTACTGCATGTTTAAGTATCAGATTTAGGATCTGTGCTCTAAAGGTAGATTTCTGTGCCAGTGACTCAAAATTAATGACATATTAGTGGCATATGACAATTATGACATATTAATGGCTCTCTATTCTTTGTACAGATATCCCAAGTCTAGTGGTAATAATAAGGAAATAGATAAATGTTTCTATTCTACATTCTTCCTTTCTCTTCTGACCTCTTGGCAGAGGAAGAGTCAAGGATCCTTCTCTCTCCTTATGGCCAGAACTAGTAAGACCTATAAAGACTACAGAACAATAAATGTGGTCATTGGCATCCCAAGCTTCTGGTTCCCAACTATTTGCAGATATTCCTTGGCAACAATACTGTTTTGAAAGCATACTGAATTATAAATGCCCAAATTGAAAAAAATACTTGATAGTCCCATGCCTGGGAGATATGGAAGGACATTTCTGGAAGGTCAATAGTCAGTTAGTGACCAAATTTCTACATGTGGGCATTTCTTGAGGGAGAGCGATTGGCTATCTAGAGACGGAAAGTGTGGTGACCTGAAATTAAGAGACCCAGCCTCTAAACACATCTCTTCTTCTAACCAATTGTATACTCTTAGTTTCTGTGGAACCTCAGATTTGCCTTCCATATAAAAGGAGTTAGGACTAATCCATCTCTAAAATCTTTTTCAGTTTGTTCTATTGTGACCAGGCCTGGCATTTAGACACCCTCCAGAATCTACAGAAAAGTTGAAGAACCATTTAAAAATCAGAACATATCTCCTTACCCGGATACTGTAAGTCTTAAATCATAACCACTTCTAGAAGTTAGTCTGGACTAGCAAATAAGTAAGGCCTAATATAAGTGCATTTCAGTAAAATCACTTGTAAAAGTACATTTATAATCAATCTTCTCAGGCTTCTGACATGCCAAATTTGAGGTAAGTATTCCAATTAAGTCTTTATCCTTCTGGCAAACAAGGCTATGGATCAATATACTTGGTGATGGTGAATAAAGTCCTCAGTTTTTCACTTCTTCATGCCTTAATAATATCTTCTTCAAGGAAAGCCCAAACCAGCAGGGCCACAATGACATCAGCCATGAGAGGAGGTCTTAAGTTCAGTAGTCCTGCCATAGAACTCAACACAAAGACATCATTAACAGGCTGAAATTGCAAGTCTCGAAGTCCGGACGTAGGCAGGTTTTAGGAGGTGGAGTCAGCGCCCTCTGGGTGGAACGGGCGGAGGGGGGTGGAAGGTCTCCCTGGGAGGAGGCCTGAAATAAAAGATAAAGGAATAATTTTTAAATGAATTTGATTAACTAGTTCTTAGGCATCCATGGTTTGTTGGAAGCTCAGTAAACTATGCAAAGAACATGTTCCGTAATTGATGAAACCATATGGACCGCTGAGTGGCATATCTGCTGGCCGTGCATCACAACCTTAGCTGCACATTAGAGTCACCAGGGGACCTTTAAAAAATACCAATTCCCAGGCTCTCTCCGAGACCCATTCCTTCATAACCTCTAAAGGATAAGGCTCAAGCATGGTATGGTAAGATAAACAGATCAGGAGACAACTGTTCTTGAGAAGATAGTTTGTTGTACTCATAGATCCCAAGAGGTGGGGGCACATTATGCCATGGGGGCCCGCTGGGGAAGTACCAGGTTTAGTCAGGAGAATGGCAGTGGAGTTGGGGAACATGGGCCAGAGCTTTTATTGTGGTTTCTGCAGGAGGGTACAAGGAAGGTAGAGTAATTTTTTTAACAGTGTCTCTCCCCCAACAAGTTATATTAACCACGTCTTTATTTATTTATTTTTTAAGATTTTATTTATTTACTTGACAGAGAGAGAGCGAGCACAAGTAGGCAGAGCAGCAGGCAGAGGGAGACGGAAAAGTAGGCTCCCCGCTGAGGAGGGAGCCCGATGTGGGGCTCAATCCCAGGACCCTGGAATCATGACCTGAGCCGAAGGCAGATGCTTAACCAACTGAGCCACCGAGGCGCCCCTGTCTTTTATTTTCTGATGCTTTGATACCTGGAGCCTTGCTAATCCTGGAGGGACTGCCCCTCCCATGGCAAACGAATTCTTATAGATAGCAACTTGCTGATGAGCACACCTTTCATATGCAAACTAACAAGTCCCAGCCTATACCCCAACCACTTCCTTTATGGGCTCTCGCATTTGGGCCCTATCCATCTGCCCTAATCACAGGAGGGCCAGGAGTGCCAGGTGCCAGACAACTAGGGACCTTTGCCCCAGAGTCTACTGAAATTACTCAAACTAGCCAATCCTAAATCTGCTTACTCTACCTTCCTTGTACCCTCCTGCGGAAACCACAATAAAAGCTCTGGCCCATGTTCCCCAACTCCACTGCCTTTCTCCGGACTAAACCTGGTACTTCCCCAGTGGGCCCCCATGACATAATGTGCCCCCTCCTCTTGGGATCTATGAGTACAACAAACTATCTTCTCAAGAACAGTTGTCTCCTGATCTGTTTATCATACCATACCTAAATAATAATAAAGTCTTGGGCTCAGTTGGTTAAGCATCTACCTTTGGCTCAGATCATGATCCCAGGACTCTGGGATTGATTCCTGCATCTGGCTCCCTGCTCAGCGGGGAGTCTGCTTCTCCCTCTACCCCTCCCCACTGCTCATGATCTCTCTCTCTCTCTCTCTCTCTCTCTCAGATAAATAAAATCTTTAAAATAATAATAATAATAAAGCCTATATTTTAAAACACCAGTGATTCAAATATGCAGCCAGGCAGGAGACATACTGTAGGAGGGGGTCCCTTGAGAGAAGAATTAAGAATTTCTAAAGTCTGCTTCTCACAACTACTTCCTCATGGGATCACTAAGTGTGTTATCCCAACTCCACATTTACTTTCCTAGAGGCCCCCCTCCATGTTATTCGGGATGGTTTTTAAACAGTCCTAAATGCCATTCCAGATAGGCCTGGGTGAGTCTATTTACAGAGAGGTTCAACAATTGTGGCTAGTGTTTCCACATGTGTGCCGTAAAACCAATATTTGATTCTCTTGGAAGCAAGTCAATAAGTCAAGAAAGAAAGCTTTGTCAGGTGCTGTAATTGAACTGTGCTATCCTGGAGTTGCATAGTTGAGGACTGAATGAATCAAGGATTAAATATTTACTAAATGTTTCTTGAATGCAAGTTTTACGTAGGTCAAGGAAATGACAAAAGAGTTGAAGAAAGAGGGGCTGTCTCAGGAACAAGGCAGGGAAGCAGGAATAGAAAAGAACTGCCACAAACATCCTCAGGAGGCCCTGCTGTGGCCTCTGGAAGTAGGTGGTTTTGTGTGGTTGCCTCTTTATCCAGAAAAAACAAATGGACCGTCTCCCTCTCCCTCCCCAACCTGCCCTATAAACCAGGGCTTACAGGAGAAGGCTGAAGGAAAGTCAGGTAATACCACTCATTACCGGAGTAAGCTTATTTAGGCTTCTTGGCTTCCTGGATTGCTTGTTTGCTTGCTTCCTTCCTTCCCTCTCACCTCCCCTCCCTCAAAAAACTTTTATCTATGTGTCTACTCCTGAGCATGGGATATAGCAGCAAGTTCAGTGGACATGGATCCTGCCTTCACAGTGCTAAGAAAGTAATGGATAAAACAGACAATAGGAACAATCAGTAAACTGCACTATTTTGATAGAGGAAGTTCAGAACCTATGAGAACATATAGCAAAGGCAACTATGCACACAGCTGAAGGAAAAGTTCCAATTTCTCTCAATGTGTTTCCCATCAGCCCAACAGAAGTACCTACAGATATGTACATCAGAGTGTTGTGTGAGGCTTGGAGATGACAATTGGAAAGTAGGTAGCACACAGTTGTGCCTTAGAGTAGGCACTCAAGAAGTAAAGCTAATAATTTTATTATTATGAATAAAGGTCTGTTCTTAGTCTTTTTCCCATGGATGCTCCATGAGCCTTACAATTTATCGTCCACCATAAAGACAGTCATGATGCCCTGCTGGGCCCTTTTCCTCTCTCTCTGCTGTCCCATTCTGCAGCTGGGGTGGGCCCACAAGCAAATTATTTCTGTATTTCATTGTGATGAACAATCCCAACCTAGGATTGGAAGTCCTATCTCAGGGAAATGGATTTGTGATTCTAGACATACCAGAACCATGGAAGTAAAGCGTATTAAATCAGAATCAAGGGCTGGTCTGTGGGGAGACAGCCTCTGCAGGACACTGGGGAGCTGGAGTTGGAAACACAAGTGACCAGAGGTACCTAACAACTGGCTGTTTTCTCCTCCCTCTTGAGGGTAAGGTCTTGCAGCTGATGAGTTTGGTTCAAGAACCCAGCAATCTTGATGTTGGTTAATGTTCTTTCAAAGCAGGACTGTTATTTAGCTGGTATGCTTTTGTATGATCATAACATTGTTGAAAATATTTTTAAACTTCCCTATTAGTAAATAGCTTCTGTCCTAAGTACCCTTACTCCCTGACCACTCCAGCCCCTCCTAGGGACTCCACAGACCTCTTCACAAGTCTGCATCTAAAATATTAACCTCTGGCACTGCAGGAGGCCTCCGGAAGAATGTTCTGATTACACAGGACCTCGGCTTTGCCTTAAAGGGGAGTGCACAAATTGTTAGTGACTGACAAATCACTAGTGAATAGCAAAATATGCTTAAAAAGCAAAGTAGCAGTGGCTCAGTAAGATTTGGGGTTTTGTTTTGGGGGGTTTTTTGTTTGTTTGGTTTTGGTTTTTTTGGTCAACTGGCAGGATCTCACCTGTGAAGAGTGTGATATTGTCAGCTGCCCACTCTCTAAGGACTAATGCCCTGCAAGGGAAATGCTGTGCAGAGGTATAATGCATCTGCCTTCCCTGACTTTGAAATACATTAAGAACTTAAAGGTGGGAGTGTGAAGCCTCTTTCCACTAATCTATGACCCGCCTGCCCTGTGGCAGATGACCTGATGGCTAACTCTTCAAGAGATAGGTAGTCTAACACAAGCAGTACCAATCTCTCCATCCATCCAGTAATTCACTTACACGATAAATATTTATTAAGTTCCTACTGTGTTCCAGTTACTGTGCTAAGCACTGGGGCTGGGGACAGTAGGAAAAATGTTTTAGTCAAAAACAGTTTCTATTCTTTAAAGGCTCACCATCCACTTGTGGAAACAGATACATAAACAAGGGCCATAATGTGGAATGAATTATAATAGAGGTATTTGGAGAACCACAAGAAGGCTCATTTTGCATAGGAACATTAGGCAAGCCTTCATAGAGGAGGTGATGACTAGACTGAATCCTAAAGGATGTGCAAGAATTTTCTAAGCAGAGGTTGGAAAGGAGTAGGGAGACAGCATTCCAGGCAAAGACACAGTTCTAAATGGCACAGCTCACTGGGAATGCAGGGGTGGAGCATCAGTGAATACAGGAGAAGGTGGGACTTGAGGCTAGACAGTTTTTAATGCTAAAAACTACAGCGTTAAATGTGAAGGCTTTTATTGCCAGGAAGTGACATCATCAGCAATTTCTGATCTAGAAGGCGCACTCTGGCGGTAACGTGGAGGAGGGAGGTAAGTGTGGGTCTACAAGGATGAACGTCGGCACAGGCAGATGGAGAGGGGGTGGATCCAAGAGCTGAAAGGGCAGCAGAACAGACAGAGCCTGGAGACGCGCTCTGTGGGAGCTGCCAGGGGGGCAGGGTTGGAGGATGACTCCTGGGTTTGGTGCTTGGGGAAGTGAGAGAACCGTGCCATTATCGCAGGCTGGGAACTCCCCAGAAGAAGACACTTTGGGGCAGAGAATGGCAGGTGGGATGAATTCAGTTTTGCACGGGCTGTATTTGAGCTATCTGTGGGGCATCTGGGTTGAGGTTGCCAGCAGAGAGTAGGAAACAGAGGGCTGAGGTAGACGTGGAAGCTTGGAGTCCTCACTGGCAGCTCAAGTTCTGGGGACAGCATGTGGAGTGAGCAGAGGAAGGGGCCAGGACTGGGAGGGGGCGAGAAGCACTGCACCCCCAGTGCTGTCCGAGAGCAGAGGCACTCAGGAGACATGGCCAAAGAACAGTTACTGATCCCCAGATCTGGAAGGGGAGAGGAGACCCCCAAGGTGAGCCCTTCTGTCTGTCAGCAGGTCAAGCATGGAAGCCGTTTATTGGCTTTATTATTTTTTCAAACATCTCCTCATTTTATTATGCGAATTGCATACATACTTACAAAACAATTGCATATTTGCTAATCTTTCTTCACACCAAAAAGGAACCCCAATGCCAAGCTCTATCACTTACAGATTTCTTTGCAAACACTGTTTCTTTAGTAAAAGTGTTTTCCTCTTTTTTGCTCCCATTTTTACCACAACATGCTTCCAGACTCCCCCAAAAGTTTATCAGCCATCTCTGTTTACACATTTATATGTGTCTCAATTTCTATCCTTTAATTTCTGGAACGTGTTTTCCTGGTTTTTCTCTTTTCCTCTCCCAATAACAAAATCCCAGAGTCTTGCAGCTACAGTTTCAAACTTGACAACGATTTTCATCTTGGTGAAATTAGTTAACTGCCTCCAAACTCTACAGTCTTTAGGAACAAGAGGTCTTAGGTCTTGGATCTCCTCCTATTGACACCCTGACCTTCCTGAACAGGTGCCACAAAATGACTAAGACACTAGAGCCTCCAGTCAGGCACACCCGGGTCTGCCACACAGAACAAGTCTTAATCTAGTCCAAGACCCAGTGTGTATATCTGCAAAATGCAATAATCCTAAATATCTATCTCTAAGAGTTGTGGAAGGAATTAAGATAATGCATTCAATGTGTTGAATATAATACCTAGTACATAGTACACACTCAATACAGATTAGCATTTATTACTATAGTTCTCCATAAACACCTCTTCCCAATTACCAACTGTATAATTTTCAAGCAAGAGCACATTATGCCAATTCAGGGGACTGGACCAGATTATCGCTACGGGTCCTTCCAGGACTAACATTCTACTATGTGACCTCTAGTCTACACCAAGGAAACATGCCGGTGAACGTGACACGGCTTGCGATTGCGGGGCTCTGTGTAACAAGTGTCAGTACGTGACTGTTACTGGGAGCACACGCTAAGGGGGGTGAACAACAAAGGGAGAAGTGGACAGACACCTAGCGCACAGTCAGCTTCTCTTTCCAGAAAACCAGAAGAAAAGCTTCCTTGTTGCACTTTCTCAACAAATTGCACTGATGAGATTCATTTAAGTTTCAACATTAAAAAAAAAAAACCAACCCTGGTTGAAAAAAAAGAAAGCTTCCACCTTTTTTTTTTATTTATTTTTTTAAAGATTTTATTTATTTATTTATTTGACAGAGAGAGAGAGAGAGCGAGAGAGGGAACACAAGCAGGGGGAGTGGGAGAGGGAGAAGTAGGCTTCATGCAGAGTATGGAGCCCCATGCGGGGCTCGATCCCAGGACCCCGGGATCATGACCTGAGCCGAAGGCAGATGCTTAACGACTGAGCCACCCAGGCGCCCCAAGCTTCCACCTTTTAATCATTCCCCCCCCCATTATATTTTAGACATCAAAGAAACAAACACCTAAGACAAGCCTAGGCTTTCATTCCCAAGGCCCCTTTCTGCATGGGCGGACACAGAAACTAGCTTTGACCACTTTTCCTGTCACTCCATGAGACCTTGAAAAGGTTCCCACCAGAGGCCCGAGTACCATTAAGACAGACATCAGAGCCCAGCAAACACTCTGAACTTGTCTGTCTAATGCCCATCTCCAAATCTCCATATGCTCATTCTTCTCCCGGATGAGAAAAATCACTCATTCTGTTCAGCTTTTACTACGGGCCAAGATGCCCCCCTTACAACTCTGTGAGGACGTTCTACTGTTATCCCCATTTTACAGACAAAGAATTGAGTTACATGAAAGTGAAGTAATTCATCCAAGTTCACAAGTGCCTTCTGGACACTGTCCCCAGATAGTGAGTGTGGTACTACAGCCATGCTCCCCACCACACCAAGCTGCCCCCACCTTTATTTTCATCCCCAATTCCTTCTTACCTCCTGGTCCCCAAAAGGCACTGTCCCCACAATACAGCCAAGGGAATTAGTTATTAGGGAGCCGAATTCTAAGCAAACATACAAGTATCTCAAAAAGTTGATGTTTACCAAAGTACTTCATTGATGAAATATTGCACTTACTATTTAAAGTATTTGCACTTGAATAAAGCATCAAATTAATTAAAAGTCCATATTAAAATGCATTAAAAGTAGGCATTTTAGTTAGCTCTGCACTCATTCTTAGGTCATCTTAGATGTCCCCAAATCTTACTCTCCCCCAGTTGGAATTCAGAGTGAGGAAAACATTTCTTATCAGCATCAATGTTACCTCTGTGAGGCAGCTCTTGGAGGTACCCTGGGGGGCCTCTCAAGGGGCACAGTGGGTGTTCCTTCCACTTGTGGGGGGCCTGGGCTACGACTTCTGGTAACCTCAGGGACTTCATTATCCTGCAGCAAAAGAGATGAGAAAGAAAAGGGGAAGTTACATTAAGCAACAAGCATAATCGGACACCATTATCCCAAGAGCCTCTCAGTCCCCCTCAGGCTTTGGCTATAAGGTTATTCACAAACTGAGAATGAATCCAGCAACACCAGGTCAGCTTTCCATTGACGCCTACAGTCACTGAGGAGACAATGAAGCCCAAATTATCATTAATGGTCCTTGTTACTCAGAGTGCCCTCTGTGGGCCATCAAATCAGCATCACCTGAGAGCTTGTGAGAAATGCTGGCTCTCAAGCTCCTCCTCAGACCTGTTTGATCAGAACCTGCATATTAACAAGATCCTAGGTAAATCTTATGCACATTAAAGGGTGAGAAGCCTGCTCTATATAACCAGATAGAGCTGGAGAAATTTTATTTTTAAACCAAAGTCCCTTTTTCGGACAGCAGAACCGTGAGTGGTTCTCAGTCATGGGGTAATTAATAGAAGCTGCTCACTGGCGGGGTGGCCCACCCCAAGGACCCTATCTCAGGGAGTCTCCTGGGTTGGCAGTGACCCCTCCTGCTCGCCCCAGCCACTGGTCACTGGATCAGAATAGACACCCTGACCAAATTGGGCTTCCACTACGGCAGCAGCTCACCCTCTCCTCAGAGGCCTTGTGGCTCTCAGGGGACTATTTGCCACCATACACGTGGAGGAGCAGAAAAGGCCAGCGTCCAGAGAGAGAAGAAGGCAGATGTGCCCAGGGAAGAAGAGACGAAAGAGCATGTGGCCCTGGGGATACACGGAGCAGCGGCCTTGGCTCCGCCATTTCTCACTGCTCCTGATCCAGGCCCCAAAATGTGATCTCAAGCCCCAGATTCCCTGATAGTCATCCCGCTCCTTTTCACAGACGCCCTTTTGGCTTAACCAGCCAGAGCGAATTTCTATTTCTCCCTCCCTCCCTCTCTCCTTTCTCCCTTCCCTCCTTTCCTTTCTTCCTTCCTCCCTCCCTTTTTATTGAGGTAAAATTCACATAACATAAAATTAACCATTTAAAGTGAACAATTCAGTGGCATTTAGTACTTTCACAATATTGTACAACCACCACCTCTATCTAGTCCCAAAACATTTCATCATCCCCAAAGGAAACAGTACTCCCCGTTTCCCCCTCCCCCAAGCCTCTGGGAACCACTAAATCGGTATTCTGTCTCTCTGATGCTACCTATTCTGGATAGTTCACATAAATGGAATCCTATATTATGTCACCTTTCTTGTCTGGCTTCTTTCACCTGGATTTCTATTTCCTGCAGTGGAATGACCCCTCGGACAAGAAAAACGGGGGTGGGGTCCCCAGCCCTCACCTCATTGTCCCCCTCCATGCCGCTGCTCACACTGAGGAGGCTCCGGGTGCTGGATCGGTTACTCGTACTGCCTGAAGGGTACAAACAAAATTAGCCGGACTGTGGATTCTCTCAGGCTAAAATAAAATGCAGGACTCTAGCACTTACTTATTTTTACTGATAGGAACAAAACACAAGCTGTGAATATGGGATCTTCAAAATGCTGCCATCTTATACCATTTTATTAGTGTTCAGTTTTTCTTTCAGCATAAAATGAAATGGTTCACCTTTTTATTACTTTTTTTATTTTTTTGCTTTATAGCCACCGTTTACTGAGGGCTTACCACACATTACATGCTTTAAAAACATGACTGCACTTAATCCCTGTGAAAATCCTATCTGATATTAGTGCTCTGGTTTGACAGACAAGGAAGCAGAGATGCTCTAGTTCTTACTTGTTCAGTGGTATTTCTAAAATCTGCAAACATCTTGTTGAAGTTTTTTACTTATTTAGGAATTATAGCAAGCATGTAATCACACACACACACACACACACACACATATATATATACCTTCCAATAAGGGGCCAGTTTTTTTTTTTAAGATTTTTTTTATTTATTCGACAGAAAGAGACACAGCGAGAGAGGGAACACAAGCAGGGGGAGTGGGAGAGGGAGAAGCAGGCTTCCCGCTGAGCAGGGAGCCCGATGTGGGGCTCGATCCCAGAATCCTGGGATCATGACCTGAGCCGAAGGCAGACGCTTACCTGGCTGAGCCACCCAGGCACCCCAGTAAGAGGCCAGTTTGATACAGACAAAATACAAAACACAAACTCCAAAGCATAATTTATGCTCACGGTAGGAACTATGATTGTGTGAGTTTAGGTGCTCAAGGCATTTGAATTGGGAATGTATCACCTACCTATCTTACTAGAACAGCACTATCCAATAGAACTTTCTGGAAATGTTCTATTGTATACTATCCAATATGGTAGCTACTGCATACCAGGAACTGAGGAACTAAATTTAAATTTTTTAGTTTTAATTAACTTCATTTTAAATAGCCACATATGGCTAGTGGCTACCATATTGGATAGCACAGAATTAGAACAAGATCAAATATGTGATGATCCAGGAGCAAAAAAAAAGAATAAAGTTGGTCAACTAAGGTCAAAAAAATTGACTTTAATTTACCACTGTCGCCACTAGCAGTATTGCCAGATCTTAGGTTTACTGAATTTCCTCTGAAAACAGCTTCTCATCATATTAGTTTATAAGTGAATAGTCTTAGTTTCAACTTTATTATGCTATCAACTTTGACCTAATTAATTCAGATGTGAGCTGAAATAGAGCCATTTAAGATTATAATTTTGGATTATTTCTTGGGGTAGATTTTTACATTTAAAATAATATATCAAAATACTTAATAAGCCAGGGGATTCAGAGTGTTATTTTAAGGAGCACATGACCCTTTTCCTTTGTATTCAGTTACCCATACATAACAATGTCCACTTGTCCAGAATGTCCTCAGCCCACTCCTATCCACAAGGCAAAAACCTCAGGCTCCAATGCTCAGGACAAATGCTATGGAAACCTTTCCAGATTCCCCCAGTGGAAGTAACCCCTCCAGCCCATGGGCTCCCAGTCCTGTAGAGCCAAGTCTCTGTCATTCACCATTCTTCATCCCACTCCCTCACAGTGAACCAGCCTCCTTCCGAAGGTTATCTGCTGGGAGAGAGCAAAAAGCTGTCCAGGCACTGGCTCCAGGACCCTAGAAACTCACACTCACCAGCTCCCATTGTGCCTTCCCTAGGTGTTCCTAAATCTTTAACCCCCAGAGTTTGGCTTTGAACCTTGGCTCCCTGGTTCATCTGCCCTGACCTTCTCCCTCCCCAGGCTGACTTGCTTACGCCCATCCCCTCTGGATTGCATGGTTGGTAGGAGGCTCTGGCCCCCATCATCTTCCCTCTTGCCAGGGGGGAGGAGGGCAGTGCCTACCTCTTCCAGGCCTCTGTCACCAAGAAAGAAGATCAGACAAGCATCTAACTCATGCTAGTTTTATATTTTCTCTACTCCATTACAAGCCACCTGAAGACAGGCTCCATTTCTTTTTCATCTTTGTATCTCCAGTGTACAGTCTTGCTCAGAATACACAGAGCAATCTTCAAATATTTGGTGGATAAATGAATGAGGGGGAAAAAAGTGACCAAATATAATATGACCCTTAAGAAACATGGACCCGACAGTCTACGAAAAGGTTAAAAGTCTCTGTAATAAAACCTGTGTTCCGTTAAACATAACATTAATATTCTTAACTAAAATCTTAGTTATGACCAGATTTAACCTGCATCTGTTTTTCTGTGGTTCCCAAGAGATGACGGCTGCACCATAATACAAATAGTGCTGTCTTCAGGGTGTGACCCTGGCGGATAAAGGGCAGTTGGTAGATCAGGGCTGGGCCAGCTTCACTCTGTCTCCCTGCCCTGGGGACTATACCTATTTGGAAGGCAGTATGTGCCGATGGTTAAGTGCACAGCAAGATCTGGATGTGAATCCCAGCCAGACCTTCTGCCTACTTGGCCTGTGACCCAGGGCCCAACCTCTCTCAATGTCCGTTTCCTGATCTAGAACTCCCAGCATCGTTGCACAGAATGGGTTAGTTCACATAAACACATGCTTGGCACGGGGCCTGCAAGATGAAGCAGCTACCACCACTTCATCAACCCCAAGATCCATTAGTGACCCCCAGGCCTTCACCTCCCAGAACCCATGGCTCTGAATAGTCCCTTCCATCCCTCCTTCCAGGCTTAGCTATGTAGCTTGCTCTTCAATATGACAAGAGGGTGATGCGAGGTAAAGCATGACAAGCACTTGCACATTGGGGTCTATCCTCCTGGAATGATCCCTTTCTGGATTTTGTTACTGTATAAGAAGTTCAGGCTACTGACTTAGAGGCCATATGTAGAGAGGCCCGAAGGATGACAGACCATCTAGGATGGTCCCGCCCATGCCAAGCTTATAGCTGATGACACGCACAGGAGTGACCCCAACTGACCCACATGGAGTGGAGATGAACCATCTCCACTGAGTCTTGCCCAAGTAAGTGCAGAATCAGGTATAAATAAATGGTTGTTTCAAGCCACTGTGTTTTGGGGTGGTTTGTTACACAGCAATAGAAAACTGAAACTGTATAGCAGGGACTGGATGCAGGCAACAGCCACAGAGTAGAGTAAAATCCACTGGTCTGACACTTAATAACATTTTCTGACGAGATGAGCTAGCTGTTCCTGGGCAATAAACCATTGCCCAAAGTAAGAAGCATAGTTTATGCTTTTCATTCTCTTTTCACCTCAAAGTAAAACATACACATAAAATCACTTAAATTAATCTGAACCTGAAATGAGTACTTTCCATTTGTCTTGTTAAATTTCCCCTCCTTTCTGCCCCGGAATGCCCTGCCCTCACCCTGAGAAGATCTATACCACATCTCTCCTCTGCCACACATCTGAGAGACAGGCCACCTGCCTTGTGCTTTCTCAGCCACCAGGGATCACTAGGAAAAGCTCTCCCATTTCTGAACTTGCCAGAATTCTCTAAATTGCCTCAAGAGGGTTTTGGATACACATTACCACCCCTATTATGGAAGGAGAAGTTTTCTCCTCTGCCCACATCCTCTGTGGCGATGTGATAGGCTTTGGGTCTGTTTCAACCAGTAATAGTGAGTGGCGGGAACATGAACCTGAGAGAAGATCTGGGCCTGCTCCCACCTTGGCTTCACTGGCTGTGTGACCTTGCACAAAACTCTTTCCTGCTCTGGATTATAAATACCCAATCTATAAAGTAAGAAGGGAGACTAGTGCCGGGGTTCTTGACCTAAGTCCACAGACAGGCAACCCTGTGTGTATATGTATGTACACAAGCCCGTGCATTTCTCTGGGAAGCACATTCAGAGAATAGATCAGATTCTCAAACGGTCTGTGATGCAGAAAAGATTAAGAACCCCTGTGTTTAGATGACTTTCCTGTCCTCATAACCATCTGGAGGTTCTCTGCCTGACATTTAAGGAGCCACGAGTCCTGAAATTCAGTCCTGAGTCTTCTACTCTTTCATTGCTCTCCTCGCTGTTTTGATAACACTAAACTGTATGAAAGAAGGGAAACTCAATCTATTCTGCTGGTGAAGCAGGTGCATCTGAGGTCTGCTAGCCCTGCCCTGGATACGGAAACAAAGCCCCCACCTCCTGCGTGTCCATCAGCAGGCGTTGTCTATTGCAGTCAGACTCTATCCAGCTTTCAACCAAAATGTCTCCCACATTTCCTAACTGGATTCTCAATTCGTCCATAAAGTTGGAATTCTCAAATGTAAGGCCATTGTTTTCTAATGTTTCTGACTTTGGCCCTTTCCTTCCCCTTACCACGGCTGAAGAAGCGGAAAGGATAGTGGTTGAGAATCTGGGCCCTGGATCCAGGCTGCCCGAGTTCAAATCCTGATACCACCACTTATTAGCTGTTTAACCCAGGGCAAGGCACTAAGAGTCGTTTCCTCCTCAGTAAATACAGGTGATGGTGCCTATCCCATAGAGTTATTGTGAGAATTAAATCAGAGAATCTATAGAACAGGCTTAGCATATAGTAAATGCTCAATAAATGTTAACTAGTGTTATTAGTAGGCTTTTCTAGTCATAAAAGGAACGGTGTAATAAATTATTACACAACCTGGCTTCAGGGGATATTGATATAAAGGATCTTTGGCCCTCTAAAAAAAGATAAACTGCACAGGCTAAATGTCCCCCATTTCTTACATCCCCCCAAAACCTGCTGGGCTTACAATAGAGACTGGTCCCAAAGCCCAATGGCACCAGCGGAAATGCAGATGCGAAGGCAAGCCCCTGGCCCTGCTCACTTGCTGTGCTGGAAGTACTATCTGTTTTCCAGTCTCCTCGCCTTAGCTCCATCCTTGGGGGGAAGACGCTTTTCCTGGGGCCGCTCTCATAGACTCCAAACTCCACCTTCCCGGGCAGGTGCTGTGAGTGCCGAATTGGGACTGTGATCTCCAAGTCTAGAATTAGAAGAAAGAGAGATAAGCTTCAAGGCACCTGACTGCGACCCGCCAAACTGCTTGGCTCCTTCTCCACCTGCCTCCCAGGCCTGAACCTGGAGGGTGTTTGGCATGGAGGGGCAGGGAGGGAGAGGGCGTGGGAAGGGGGAGGGAGCCCTGCCCAATTCAACACTGAAACTCCACAGACTCCTGTGTGGCCATCACTGTGTGACAGAGAAGAGGTCAGAGGCACGTGAGAAAGCCTGACAAATGCTTCCACATCAGGCAGAGAGCCCGCGATCAGGGAAAGGTCTGGGGCCTGCAGCTCTGCCACCCTCCAGCTGTGCGACATGGATGACTTCCCTATCGGAGGGGGACTCATGAGCGCTGTTGATCCTACTAACTGGTTATCCTGTGCACCAAGCAGAGTTCTGTGAGCTTCCCAACCCCCATGAAATAAATACTATTATCATCATTCCCAACAGAAACTAGTTGCAGAGAAGTGAAGTAGCACATGGCTGGTAAGTGGGACAGCTGGGATTTGAACCCAGGCTCCAGAGTCCAGGTTCCTAACCACTACTCATACGGCCTCTGAATCCCTCAACAAATGATGGGTACTGGGTGCATGGTCTGCAACTGACAGCAACGGCCCAGAGAGCTAATGAAAGGAGGTCCATCAGCCCCATAAAAGATTTTGAGACTTGCAAGGCTGACCAGTGGCTTTGGAGCTGAGAGATTATTCCTTCACTCTGCAGAGCATTAAACTGGTCTCTTGACTGGCTTAGCCCTGCCTAGGAGTTGGTCTTTAGTCCTCCCTAGATTTCCACTCCCTGGGTTCTAGACTGAGCAGAACAAAATATTTGTGGAGGCCCATACCCCACTTCCTCCCCCGGGAAAGTGTGAACACCAGTGAGCTCGTGTGACAGGGCTCCCGTGATGCCCTGAACGTTCCCAAGCCCGGGAGCAGGGCCTCTGGGAGAGAGAGGTGTGAGCTCTGTGTACTTTCGGGCAGTGTGCTCTTATTTTCATGGTACCACTCCCTCCGGTGCCTCTCCTCTGCTGCGGGATGAGTATGGCCAGGGCTTCGGGGAGTCCAGGGGCAGAGGTGGCTCCGCGTGCCAAAGCCAGAGTCTGCCCAAGAACGGCGAATGGGGAGACTACAACCATAGGAAAGAGGAAGTTCGAGGACAGGGCAGACTGAGCCTGTGGGAAACACTCCACACAGAGGACGTTACAAAGCTGGACTGTGGTTTACGTGGACCTCACACATGCCTCACCCTAGAGACGGGTTCCAAGTGCAGTGTTTGGTCCTAGTATTAAACCAGCTTTCTAGGTCTCTGTGTGACACAGATCTTTCTCACACCCTCAGGCTCGCCTCATTACAACGCAGCAGGGCAGCAACCACCAGCACTCGGAACCACCTGCATGTGGGTGTGGGCCCAGAGTGGCTCAGGGCCCAAACAGGCGTCATCCTTTTATTTTATTTTTTTCCCTCAGCTTTGACCTAGTATTTTTTTTAAACAACAGTCGCTTAAAGGGAGGTTCCAATCTGCTTTAATTCACTTCAATGTGGCAATTTTCTACCCTCAACCAGTTCTATGAGGAAGGAAAGTAAAATACACGTGAAAAAAAAAATTGGGAGTCAAAAGTTCAAAAAATCAAGTAGAGCCAGTCTAAATGTCTACCAAATCCTGATATTCCTGGAAGAAAGAAAAAATGCCAGGAATAGTAATCAGCATTATATCTTACAGTACTTTTCCCGGAGCGTGTCTCCATGGGTCATTATACCTCCTCTGAACTTCACTTCTTCCCTATGAAGTTGGTAAGTCAGGTACAAGCATGGGTGAAGAAACTGAGGCACAGTGTGATTAAAGGGATTGTCCTGGATCATAAAGTGATGCAGTGATTGGAGTGGAGGGATGGGAGCCCAGGCTGCCTGGCACCCGGCCTGCTCCTCCTGGTTCTGCCCCAGATGAGCCCCAGACATACCCAGAACACAAATACAGACTGTCGTCTTTGGGGGTGTTCAACAAGTCACGGGCCATGCCAGCCCCCCTGATCTATACCATCAACGTTCTGCACCATCCCAGCAAGAACAAGACAACCCCCCAAGGCTGAAGAAAAACTAGCACATTATTATGAACGGAATCTTACTTTTTAATTATCATTGGTGTTCTAACCTAAATTAAAGGAAAATAGTCATCGTTTTTCTTTTCTAAGGCAAATGAGATTTCTAAATAAACAGAGTCAGCCCTTCTGTTTAGAATGGGCTCTGTTCCTAGAAAAGGTCTTTTAAGCAGAAATGCCATTTGTTAACCCTAATTTTCCTACAGATTGATGTTACCCTGTGTCAATGGTTTCTAAATGTTTTTCTTTTTTCTTTTTTTTGGCAGGGGTGAGGAGGAAGCAGAGTTCTTTTTTTTTAGATTGTATTTATTTATTTGAGAAAGAGAAAGAGAGAGATATTGAAAGAACAGGTAGGAGGAGGGGCAGAGGGAGAAGCAGACTCCCCACTGAGCAGGGAGCCTGACGCAGGGCTCGACCCCAGGACCCTGGGATCATGACCTGAGCCGCGGGCAGACACTTAACCAACTGAGCCACCCAGGAGCCCGGGGAAGCAGAATTCTTTCATCTGGTGAAAACAGAAGCTCAATGTGGAAAGAAGATTTTTTTTTTTAAAGGAGCTGCAATGGTCAAAGCAGAGTAGGTTGCCCTAAACCTGTCACAATCCTAATCTCTTCCCCCACTTTCCCCTACCCCACCCCCAGTGCCTACCCTTTACTCCCACGAGCACACATAGGCAGCACTGAGGCTACTCAGTGTGAAATAGCCCATTACAAGTTAGTATGCCACTAAATACATAATCGAGTTTTATGGAGTTAAATAATATGCCATATTTAGTCAACCATAAATGATGCCCACTCTTTGGCAGGTGATCTGATGCCCTTGGGCCTCATCATGCAGTATGTGGTCCAACTTCCAAACTGCCTGAGGCTTTCTCTGGTAACTAGATGATAAGCACCACCCCCCAACCCCAATGGGCCTCCCCCAGACACGGGAGCTGGTGAAGAAATGCCCCAGCTCTCTGTCCCCTTCCATGCTGCTGTCCACTGACTCCCAGAGTCTCCAGAGACAAGAAGCTCCAGTCTCCACAGTGCTAACTGCACCTTGCTGGCTACCTCTTTCCCTCTCTCACTTCCCCACTCCCGCTGTGTTCCTGGGATCATCTCCCACCATTTGCTCTCAAATCCTTGTCGGGGAAGAAAAAGTTCTAGAAATGGATCATGGTAATGGTTGCCTGATATTGTGGATGTATTTAACGCCACTGAATTGTACACTTAGGCTATGTTATGGGTATTTTACCACAATAAAAAACAAAAACAAGGGGCATCTGAGTGGGGCAGTCAGTTAAGCGTCTGACTCTTGGTTTCAGCTCAGGGCCTGATCTCAGGGTTTTGAGATCCAGCCCCACGCTGGGCTTTGCACTGAGCACGGAGTCTGCTTGGAACTCTCCCCCCATTCCCTTTGCCTCTCCCCACTGTGTTCTCTCTCTCTCTCTCTCTCAAATGAATCTTTAAAAAAAAATGAAAATGAAAGGAAACTCTTGGTGCTGATGGGTAGAACATTCTCTCTATGGTGGATTGCGTGTGGTCCCCAGTTGTTCTTGTTTAGTGTCAAATTAGATATGGTTTAATCTTCTAATAGTTATGACAGTAATTAAAGCCCCTAATGTAAAAAGTAAAAATACTTAACACCTCCCCATAAAACCTAGTCAGAGGGTCTTCTTGAAGAGTAGAGGGGAAGGGAAGCAAGGGCATTTAACCATGTTCCTTTGAAAAAATGTAGACCTTGACCATTCTAGTGAAGAGACACTGGTGGGTATCGCTTATTCAGAGCCTGATCAGCTTTGGCTGAACTTTGTATAATGTTCCAAAACCCAGGATTCCAGGGCTGGACCCTGGATGGCGAGTTCCAGCCCAGTGCACGCACCCTGGGAGGCCCTGCCTGAGAGGACACCAGCTGCTGGACGGGTGGGTGGTCTGTACAACAGTGCCTCCATGTGCCAGGCGCTGTGCGAGACACCAGCTATCCCCTAACTTGTTCAATCCTCACAAAAACCCTAGTGGGGGAGGCACTTCTATTTGTGCCACTTCGCAGATGAGGACCGAGGCTCACTTGGGGGACTTATCTTGCCCATGGTTCCCAGCTAGTTAGGGGTGAGCAGTGGCTAGAAACTTGACCCCAACCCTGATGGCCCAAGGGCCCATGACTGTACCCTTTACTCCTCAGCACATGTGTGTGTCTTGCTTCAATATCTCCACCGGTTGGGTGGTAAAGGTGTGATGACACCCAGTGGGCTCAGTTCTGGAGCCCTGGCTGCCCAGTACTCATAACTCCAACACTACAACTCTCTGGCCTTCAAACACTCAGGCACCACCAAATCACAGCTTTTTTGAGGCTGCCTATGTGTCAAAGCATGAAATGTTTCATTTAATCAAGGCTTCTATCTTTGGGTTCATGTGCTCTAGTTTTAAAAGGCACCTCGTCCCTTTTCCCACCTAGAATCTATTGTCTGACCCTAAGATGACTACGCAGATCTTGAACCAGATTTTTTGCCTTCAGCCAGGAGGGCAAACACATGTGAGCTTGGGTGGTGGAAGCATACATTTAAGATCTAGTCACCCAAGCAGACATCTTAGGATGAACTCTCTGACCTTCTGCCATCGTTATAACCTCTGTATGCACCTTTTCCCAAACGGTCAAAATCATTAATATTCAGTAGGCTAGTACCATATGCAAAATACTGTGTTAGGCATTGTGGGGCAGGCTCTAGCTGGGAAAATCAGACCTACACAAGTAAAAGACTAACTCATAAACTACCCGACGGTGAAGATCATGCCGTATGGGTCTCTGTCTGGCAGAGAACCTGGCACTCAGTTAAGTGTTTGTGGAATGAATGAATGGTGTTACCAAACGTTTTATTCCAACAGAGACTCCTTGAGCCCAATCAGTGTACTGTCCTACACGCCGGGGGTTCAGCAGAGCGCAGAACAGACAAGCTCTTGCCCTCATGGAGCTTACAGTAGGTGGCGGCAGGGAGATGGGCCAGAAGATAACCGTGAGAGTAGGCACATAAGGTAATTCCAGTCTGTGATATGTGAAAACAACGGGAGCAAAGGCACAGTGAGTTGTGAAGGATCGCTCTGGAGAGAATGTGGAGAAGGCCTCTCCGAGGAGGAGAACTTACAGCCAAACTTTGAAGGAGGAAAGAGCCAGTCAGTGAAGACACGGGAAAAGTGGAGGGGGGACAAAGGCCCAAGGGAGGGCTGCTCTTGACTTGTTAGAGGAACAATAAAGGAGTCCTTTGGGACTAGAGCACAAGGTTGAAGGGGAAAGTGGAGGTGAGCTCAGGGGTGAGACCACATAGGGCCTCTCAGGCCACAGTGAGGAGTGTGATTTTACTCTGGGTGGGACCAGGGCCCCTGGAGGGTTTTGAGCAAGAGACTGGCATGATCTGATTTTTTATTTTTAAAAAGGTCATTGGTTGCAGTTTGGAGGATTAACTGTAGAAAAGGGAGAGTGGACACGGGGAGACAACTGAAGAGGCTCCTCTTTCATCCACGAAGAGATGATGGTGGCCTGCCTGCAGCTGTGGCAGGGGAAACAGAAATAATCAGATTTAAGATGCATTTTGGAGGCAGAACCTCTGGGAATTGATAGTTTGAATACAGGAATGAAGTAATAGCAATCAGAGGCACAAAAGAGAAGTGCCGGATGAATGGAAGGGACAGTAGGTCCTGTAAGTGCTCCAGTGGGGAAGGAGTGCAGTGGCCCAGGAAGGCCTTGCCGAGCAGAAGCTGCCGGGCTGGGTCTTCCAGCCCAGGAATTTTCATACAGGTGAGAAAGAAAAGGCATGAGCAAGGGGCCTGTGGAAGGAAGATGTCATTTTTATTTTTTTTATTTTTATTTATTTATTTTTTAAAGATTTTATTTATTTAATTGACAGAGAGAAAGAGGCAGTGAGAGAGGGAACACAAGCAGGGGGAGTGGGAGAGGGAGAAGCAGGCTTCCCGCCGAGCAGGGAGCCCGATGCGGGGCTCGATCCCAGGACCC